TCTCTCTCTTTCTGGCGAGTACACACACCCTATAGCAAAAACCTCTCCCCCACCCCCCACCCCCCAAAAAAAGCAAAATAATACAAACTGTTTTCACAAACACTTCATATATCTGAAAATAAAATGTAAGGATAAAATGGAGAAACTTTTGGAATTTACCAGTACTTACCCTAGCCCCAAAGCCAAAACGTGAGAAAGGAAGAGGGATGGAATGAACACTTTCAGAAATTCTGCAGAGAAAATACCCCCTTTCTTCATGGCTCCACTTTTCCTCATGCTTAAAGACACAGAGCGTTTAGGGTGCCTGAAGTGGAACTCCCTGAGAAAGAAAGCCAGGTGTCAGAAACGCATTTGCTACAATATTGTGGAGGTTCCCGGGCCTACTGCATATGAGAATGTGAACGAGATCGACTGTGCCTACTGAAAAGAACAGATGAGAACTTACTTGGGTGGAATGTTTTCCGGTCTACTGGACCAATCCGATACCCAGTCTGAACTTTTCTTTAAAGCTTCAACAGCTTCTTTCTCTCCTTCTACAACTTCTTCTTCTGACTGTAAAGAAGAATTCGAGCTTTAAAAAAAAAAAGAAAAAGGAAGGAAGACCAAATTTCTCCCAATACAAAGACAAATTTGGAAAGAAAACAAACTAAACTCCTAAAGTTGTGCCAGTAATGTCGATGTAAGAAACATGCTGCTTTTCTAAAAGGGCCGAGAAAATGATCTCAGATTAGAGTATTCAAACATCTTAAAAAGAGCCTGAGTGGGGCTGGCACGTGGCACGGTGGTTAGGGGCGCTGGACTCCCACATGGCTGACTGCAGTTCGAGTCCTGCACCTGATAGCTTGCTTTCTCACTTTCCTTCTCTCTCTCTTTCTCACTCTGTCCCTCTCTGGTCAAATTAAAATAAAGGTTTTTTGTTTGTTTGTTCGTTTTTTAAAGAATGTATAAAATAAATAAATAAATTTTAAAAAAGAAAAATAATCTGAGTGAGCTCCCTTGTTATATCCAAACATAAAACATGAAAAAATTGTATTTTGAGATAAAACACTAACTGAAATACTAAAAATCTGTTTCTAACTACTGAATCTGGGTACCCATAGAAGTATACTACACTATTCTCTTTACCTTTGTATGTATTTTAACATTTTTATAATTTTAAAAAAAGGGAGAGCCCAGCAGTTGGTGTAATGGCTACGTCGCTGGACTCCCATGTAGTCGACCGTGGTTCGAGTCCTGGGCCCAGTTGCTTAAACTCATGCCAGGAGTGTGTACGTGCTGTGTCCAAGATCCCAAGAGAAGAATGGAGGAGAAGGGACTGTGGTGTGGCCATCCCCCATGGAGGTGATTTCTCGCTTTCTGTCTCCCTGTCTCTCTCTGTCTTTCTGGCGAGCGCACGTGCACTATAGCAAAAACCTCTCAAAAAAAAAAAAAAGGGAACATATCAAAAAAGACACACTAACAAAAATAAGTGATAAGAAGTAAAACAAAAGTAACTGGGAGATATAATGAGAAAATAATAGTATTTATTGAACAAAGAAATGAACATGGTTCTAAACACTTTACATACAAAAATAGTAACTATTAAGATCTCATTTTAAAGATGAGGAAACTGACACATATATTAAAAGTAACTTGTCTAGATTTTCAAACTAATAAGTAGCTTGGCCAGTATTCAAAGGCATGCATACTGTCTCTAGGGTCCCCACTTTAATAAACATTACATTTCACTCTCTGGAAAACTATACTTTTTAGATAGATTCCTATCCAAATACTTTTTAAAGCTCTAAAACAATATAAATAAAAAGTTTTTTAGAATAATTTATTTTAAATCAAGTCAGAATTTCACATCTATAAATAAAAAAGAAATCCTTGGCCTAAAGTTTCAGACCAAGATTTAGGCCAAGAACAATTAAAATTTCCAGTAGCTTCTCTTTTAATAGAACCCACAGGAACGGTAATTTCCTAAAAAGAACATGGTATTATTTATTCATTTTAAAGGAATGTGATGCTGTGATCACAAACAGAAGGGTCTCAAAGCTAGGAACCATTTTCACTTTTTTTAAAAGAATCATTTATTTATTTATTCATTTAGTTTAGTTTGACCAGAGAGACACCGAGAGAGGGAGAGTGAGAAGGTAAGCCACCAGGTCCGGCACACATACCGCGGTCGCTGTGTGCGAGTCCAGTGCCTTCTGCACCACGCCACTGCCAGCCCTTCATTCTGACTTTTTATTTTGAGTTGGATTCACTCTTTCACCACAAGTTTCATTCTTTATGTAAGTAGTTAAGAAATGCAGGGCCAGCAGGTGGCACAGAGGTTAAGGCAGCTGGATTCCACATAGCCAACTCCGCGGTCTGAGCCCCAGACCCAGCGACTTGAAGATCACATCACTGGGGGAGCGATGTCTCACTTTCCCTTTCTCTCTCTCTCTCTGTTTCTCTACAGCAAACACAAGCACCTTATGGGGGGAAAAAAAAAAAGAGAAAGAAATACACAGCCTGACATAGCCCCACGATCTTCCTTTGACAGGTCTAACTCCCTGTAAAAGAGCTTCCCCAGGGGGACCAGCAGTTAGCGTAATGGCTATGTTGCTGGACTCCCACGTAGTTGACCACAGTTCACGTCCCGGACCCGGCGGCTTAAACTCACACTGGGCGCGTGTGCATGTGTGCCTAAGATCCCAAGAGGAGAATGGAGGAGAAGGGATTGCGGCATGGCCATCCCCCGCTGGGGGGTGATTTCTCGCTTTCTGTCTCTTTGTCTCTTTCTGTCCTTCTGGCGAGCGCACGTGCCCTATAGTGAAAACCTCTCAAAAAAAAAAAAAAAAAAAAAAGAAAAGAAAAAAGAGCTTCCCCAGGAAAGGAGTTTCAGAGAGTCTCTACATACAGATGGTCCCTTTCTTACTATGGAAACCAGGGTAAAACCCCCGTGGATATCTGTCCCCCTTGCTGGTACCACCCTTATCTCGTTCTGCTGAACTTGGCAAATCCCACTGAACGACACAATGTAGCATTTAGGATTAAGCTCTTTCCATTGGGTATTGAGATTACTCAGAATCATGAGTTGGCTCTTTGGAGAAACACTGAAATCATCCTAAATCAAACACAATAAGTCGTTAGAATTTACTTCCAGACCAGTTTGTGTGAACTCAGTGTCTGACTATACTCAGCATGCTCTAGGTCACTTCAGTTGACAGTTTCCTATTTTGGCCTCACATGTTTCTTTAAAACCGCTCAAAGATTTAGGTTTACATTTTGTTACAAGTTATTATTTCATACTTTATAAAACAAAATGAATATATTCTAAAGTTGTTTTCTAAGATGATGTCATTTTTTCAGTTGGATGAAACAAAGTTATATTAGGATTAGTATTTAAAAAAAAAAAAAAAACTGGGTAAGTTTATCCTTTTTTTTTGGTTTAAGGTTCTTGCCATAGGGCACATGTGCTTGTTGGGGTGGGTGGGTGAGCGAGACCAAAATCACTACCACAGGGGATGACTGCACCACAATGCCTTCTCTTCCACTCTCTTCCTGGGATTTTGAGCATGCATGCACGTGTGCCCAGCATGACTCTCAAGCAGCCAGGTCCAAGACACGAACCATAGTTGGCCATGTGAGAGTCCAGGGCTTTAACCACCGTGCCACATGCTGGCCCTATGATAAATGTATTCTAATGCGTACTTTAAGAACCGGAGTCCTAAACTCCCCTCATTGACTACTGTGTTTCCTTTTAATGATCTTAAATTTATCACTTTTGGATTTTAGATTGCTTTCCAGTTCTTGGAATTCCAGAAGATGGTAATAATGTAACTGAATGACTGTAAGAGCTTTAGTTGAACCAATGACCCTCTCTCTACACCTACATCAAGAAGATTGATCATTTTAGACTATTTTCACGTGTAATCACTTAAGCTTTCCTTCTTGGGCCACCTCAAGTTCTCTCAGGTCTCTAAACACAGATATTAAACGCATGTTCAGATCAACGTACAGATGAGCCAGTTATTCAAGAGGGAGTAAGGATATTTTCAGTTTGGGTCACCTTCCAATGAAGCCCAACAGTCTAGCCTCTTGGGTTTCAGAAACAGTATGTAAAAATGTCTTCAAGAGGGACCAGCAGATGGTGTGATGGTTATATCGCTGGACTCCCATGTAGCCAACCACGGTTCAAGTAGGAGATGCGGCAGCTTAAAAATTCATGTGGGGCATGTGTGTGTGTGTGGATGCTGAAAATTCTGAGAGGAGAAGGGATTGTGGCATGGCCACCTCCGCCCCCAAGGGAGTGATTTCTTGCTTTCTGTCTCTCTGGCGAGCACATGCACCCTATAGCAAAAAGTCTCTCTCAAAAAAAAAATCTTCAAGTGACATCTATAGTTCATTTTCTGCTATAAAACTGAAGCCCCTGAGAACCATCAACCTCAAAGAACAATTTGATCTTTTTCCTCCTTTAAAATTTTTGCCGTAAGACGTGTGTGTTTGCTAGAAAGAGGCAGAAACGGAGAGAGAAGGAAAATGAGAAATCACCCCCCATAGGGAAACGGCCATGCTGCAATCCCTTCACTATTCTCCTCTTGGAATTTTGGGCACACACACATACACATGTACACACATACAAACACACACACATACACATGCACATACACATGCATGCATGCATACACACATACATGCACGTACACTTACACACACACACAGCATGTTTTTCAAATTGCTGGGTCCAGGACTCGAACTGTGGAGTCAGCTATGTGGGATCCAGCACCTTAATCACCACACTACCAGCTTGTCTGGTTCTTTTTCCTAAATGTATTCCTTTGGCTTCTCCATACCATAAGTCTCCAGCCAACTTTTAGTTCATTCTCATGACCTTGTAAGTGTGCCTCTGACTCCATCTCATCCGTTGACTTATTTTAGAAGGAACCAGGATGCAAACTTTGAAAGATCGGCTTCAGTCCTGGCTCTCTCACGCTTGCTTTGTGATCTTATAAATGTAACTTGAGGGGCCACCAGGTGGTGCAGTGTTTGGGCCACTGGCAGGACTCCATTCTTTTCTTTTTGTTTTTTTTATGCCAGAGGGCACATGTATATACAAGAGAGACAGAAAAAGATATATGCAAGAGAGAGAGAGAAACCCCCAATGGAGCCTGGTCATGCCCATCAGGATCCTGGGCATGTATGTGATGCTCTTTGAGCTGATGAGGCTAGGACCTGAGCCCTGGTTGGTCATGTGGGATCTGGCGCTCTCTTCACAGTGCCTAACCTTAGCTGCCCTGTTGGACCAGTAGGCTGTATTATAGTGTGCTTATTTAACTCTGAACTATACCATGGCACTTCGTATTGAGTGAACATTGCTCAGATCACATTTTGGAAAATGCTAACCTGGTCTTTCAACCTGTCTCCACAAAATATGGTTTGAAGACATCTTCCTCAGAAAAGACTACAGCATAGGGAACAGCAGGTGGCGTGGTGGTTAAGGTGCTGGACGCTCCCACATGGCTGACCACAGTTCAAGTCCCAGACCTGGTAGCTTGCTTTCTCACTTTCCCTCTCTGTCTCTCTGGTCAAATTAAAAATGAATGAATGAATAAAATGAAATAAAATAAATCTTTGAAAAAAAAAAAGAAAAGACTGCAGCATAGAATTAATTTCATTTCTCTGCTGGATTCCTTTCTGCACTTTTGCCATGCACACTTCATACACTTTCCCCACATGATAGGTTAACGCCCATGGCCAGACGGACATACGCAAGCCAGCAATTCAGCAACTCTAGTCAGATCATCTTACTATACAAGAGCCTTGCCAATATAAGCAGATCATAAAATAAATTTGTTTTCAATCCACAGATTTCTCTAGATTTCAGAAAATAGCAAAAATAGGCCATATTTAAAGCATGGCAAAATCGTGCAACCTTCTGAAATAGAAAGAGCAGTGGGTGGATCCCAGATAACATGCAAAATATTTCTGGTGCACAGGGGCCCAGGCCGCTGTACAGCGAGAACCTCACGAAACAAGGATTTGTTCAAACTCACTCTAGGACCTTACTTAACACCAGAGAAGATGGCCACGGCTCCTGTCCTGAAGCATTATGCTCTAATGACACTTTCAGGTGACATGACACATCAATGCGGATAAGGGCTGGCTATGAATATTCTCAACCATTAGCAATAACTATATAATTAGCAATAATTATATACTTACTATATTTTAAGTTAAATAATATAAACATTCTTAAGACTTTAATACTAAATATACCTACATTTCAGGTAACTCCTACTTTTTATTTTATTTATTTATTTTTAAAAGAATTAATTTAATTAATCATTATTGTTTTTTAAAATTTGTTATAGGCCATGTACACTTACAAGAGAGAGAGAGAGACAGAGAGAGCAAGCAAGTCACTGGGCCTGGGACTTGAACCGCAGTCAGCCATGTGGGAGTCTAGTGCCCCAACTACCATGCCACCTGTTGGCTCCTATTTATTTTATTTTTAAAATATTTTTGCCATAGAGCACGTGTGCTTGCTAGAAAGACAGAGGGAAACTGAGAAGTAACTTTCCCAGGGGATGGACATGCCCCAATCCATTTTTCTCTAGGGATTTTGGGCATGCACACATGCCCAGAGTACCTTTCGAGCCACTGGATCTGGGACTTGAACCACACAGTTGTTCATGTGGGATCCAGTGCTTTACCTACCATGCCACCTGCTAGCCTCCTTTATTTACATTCTTTAAGGTAAGGAAACCTACATAATTTTGATTTAATTTTATCTCTAGCTTTTTTTTTTTTTTTTTTTTTTGCTTATAGGACATGTGTGCTCATCAGAGAGAAAGCGAGATATCACCCTCTGGGGGGATGGTCATCCACAATCGCTTCTCCTCCATTCTCCTCCTAGGATCCTGGCACACATGCATCTGTGCCGGGTGTGAGTTTAAGCTGCCAGGTCTGGGACTCATATGGGAGTCCAGCAACATAACCATTACAACCATCTGCTGGTCCCTAGCTCTAGTTTTAAAAAATCCACCAAAGAAGTCATTGTTCTGATTTCAGATGCAGATAAAGTTTTCACACCCGATTCTAATGATATCTTTGTTTTCATTTATTTTGTGATTTTAAAAAAGATGACCTTAGGGTCCAGCAGTTAGCCTAATAGCTACGTCGCTGGACTTCCACATAGTCAACTGTGGTTTGAGTCCTGGACCCGGTGGCTTAAACTCACGCCAGGCACGTGTGCATGCATGCCCTGGATCCTGAGAGGAGAATGGAGGAGAAGGGATTGTGGCGTGGCCATCGCCCCTGGGGGGTGATTTCTCGTTTTCTGTCTCTCTAGTGAGTGCATGCACTCTATAGCAAAAACCTCTCAAAAAAAAAAAAAAAAAAAAGATGACCTTACACAAGACATCTGTCTCAGTTTTTCTACTTGTAAACTAAAGAAACAAGCCTGGACTACCAGAATGATATCTCACAGACAGGAATTTTACGTTCTTTTAGGGTGATTATCCTCAGCTGTAAAGGAGTCCAACAAGAAACATGTCATCCCTAATAAATCCCCCAAACCAGGAATTCAATAATAAAACAGCTTCTAACTACCCTTAAAAGTCTTCTTATTCATGTGTATGTGTATATGTATATACACACGCACACACACACATTTTAGTTTTTTGTCATGGGGCACGTGCACTTGCTAGAGACAGAGAGGGAAAGAAGTGACTGCCCCTGGCAAGGATGGCCACTCCACAGTCTCTTCTCCCTTATTCTCTCAGAATTTTGGCCACGCGGGCACACATCTGGCATGCTTTTTAGGTCACCAGGTCTGGGACTTGAAACAGAGTCGGCCATACAGGATCCAGCACCTTAACCACATCACCTAGTGGCCCTCTTTATGTATTTTAGCAAAACAATTACTTAAGAAAGTTGCACCTTTCCTAATTACTTATATTACATCAGATAACAAATACACACACACACACACACCTGAGAGCTGTGGTCCCTGCTGGTGTGCATTTCCACATCAAACATGATCTGCCCATCTTCCTGTGGGGAAGGGCTAAAAAAAGAAAGAATTCAGCCATTAGTTGTTTGTTTTTAAGTTTACTTATTGCTTTCATGAAAGAGAGTCAAAAAAGGGGCCAGGTAATGGCACAGCAATAACACAACTAGATCTCATGGAAAAGGTTCTGGGTTTGCCTCCTGGGAGCTCCCAGAGGCACATGCCCATGATCTGGGCTGGCTGGAACCACAAGTAGAACAAGGGGGGAGCCTGTCTCTCATGGAAGAAATAAATGAATAAAACTATTACTTTTTTTTTTTTAAAAGAGAGACAGCTGAGAGGAAAAAGACGAGCACCATCAACAAGGTCTCAGATTGCAATCCTCTCCACAGCTTTCCCAGCCAGCCAGAGTCCCTGCTATGTGGCTTCCATGTGGCTTCAGCATCATGGATTGAGGCATTAATACTGCACCACCATGGCTGGGCCTCACCATTAGTTTTATTCTTATTCTGACAAATGATTTGGCCTCTATGGAAATTAAAAAATTAAGTTACAGCAATATGGCTTTCAAAAAGCAGTAAACTAGGAAGTATAATCTCACACAGAAAACTGCATAAGTGGCTAAATGAAATAGAGCACTCTTTTAAAAAAAAAAGAATTATTTTATTTAATTGTATTCATTGTTATTATTTTATTTTTCAAAGTTGACCAGAGAGAGACAGAGAGAGGAAAAGTGAGAATGGAAGGTGCCAGGTCTGGGACTGGAACCGCCGTCAGCCGTGTGGGAGTCCAGCTGCCTTAATCACTAAGCCACCTGGTGGCTCCAAAACAGACTACACTTATGACCAAGATGCTGACTTTTTCAGTCATGGTGATTTCCTTCACAATGATAAGTTTGCTAAGGAAATATTACCTAAAAACTGTCACACTTTATTCATTTTTCCAGAAGGATAAAATGATCTTCAAATTCAGAAACCTAGTTTGGGCTTCTTTTTCTCAAATTTCTTTCATTATTAAATAATTCACAACCAGCAGTTCTTGAAACAAGAAAAACAGTTCTAAAAGACTGTTTCAAAGGGTCTTCAACATTCTAATTGCTCTCATAACACTATTAGGATGCATTTGCCTTTTTCATTCTCATCCTCTCGTGAATATATAGAGAAGTTTTCCAAAGGCTACACGGTATGTGGCATCGCAGCAGACCAAATGCTGAAGTAGGTAAGAACCTGGCTGCTTCTATTAAGCCAGATGGTGAAGAGACTGGCAAAGATATAAAGTAATGCCAAATAGTCTTACAAATTTTTTTGGTTATAGGAAACAGTTATTTAAAGAGTTATGTTAAAAATGCAATAGTTTACTATAATATTTAAACGCTTTTTCTTTTTAAAGAATTATTAATTTAATTCCATTTGTCATCATTGTTTTTTAATTTGACCAGAGAAAGAGAGAGAAAGAAAGGGAAAATGAGAAAACAAGCTGCCAGGTCCGGCACTCAAATTGAGGTAGGCCATGTGAGAATTCAGCGTCTTTAACCACCATGCCACCTGCTGGCTCCTTGAATGCTTACTTTTAATTTCCTTTTTAAAATTGTTTTTATTTTTAGTTTTTGTTAAATTTGCCAGAGGGCACGTGTTCGCTCACCAGAAAGACAGAGAGAGAGAGAGAGAGAGAGAGAGAGAGCAAGAAATCACCCCCCGGGGGGATGGCCATGTCACAATCCCTTCTCCTCCATTCTCCACTCAGGATCTTAGGCACACTCGCATACGCACCTGGCGTGAGTTTAAGCCGCTGGGTCCGGGACTCGAACCACGGTCGACTACATGGGAGTCCAGCGACAAAGCCATTATGCCAACTGCTGGTTCTGTGGATCCAGCTGCCTTAATCACCAGCCCCTAGACTGGTCCCAGTTTTAATGTCTAAGATAGTAAATACCAAAATATATAACTTACATATCAAAGTTCTATGGAGTTCCTAATAATCTGTAAGAGTGTAAAGGGGTATTGAGACTAAAGTCAGAACCACTCTTCTACTTACTTCAGAAATATTAACATCACTGAGAATTATATAAGCTCCTATCTGAATATCAAACCTTTATGATAGTACAAAATATATTCTCAGAACTACAGAAAGTTACAGATAAATTCTTAAAAACACATGATCCCAAACTGTACTTGATCCAACAGCTGAACACAATGTGCTAAGTTCTTATCTTAGCTTCATCAATGGGTCCTGTGTAACCACAGCGAGTCACTGACTTTCACTACAAACTTCCCACCCAAAATCCAACATTAAATATAGATGAAAAATAGAGTTTAACTCAAAGAAATAGCTATCAACTATTAATGTTCCCAAAAGCATGTGTACAATGTTAATACACATAGATGGTGGTGAGACTGACTTAAACCTAAGTAAGATCACCAGAAATTTATGAGTCTGGACCTCAGAGTTTCATTATACTGACACTGGACGTTCTTGAACATGAACAGAAAAAGAGAAAAGCTGGTTCTATACCAAAAACACATCACATGTACTTAGAAAACTTGGGTGTTGAACTGGAAATGTCAGGCTGTTGCAGACAAAGCAACCAGAATGAGACACTCCGGATGTCCTCCGTTTACTTCATGCCCCTAAGACTGCTGGGTTCACAGCCAGATATCCAGATGACCAGGCTAAGGCAGAGTGACAGGTTGACTCTGCCAGAAGCACTGCTCTACTATACTCTTCACCACTGGCAACCGTTTCGCTTATGACACTCGACTTCCCCCGATAAACTGTTTACTACCCCTAACAATGTGGAATGCTTTAAAGCTCCAACCTCGGTTCATGTATTAGGATCAACTAAGGAGCTTTTAAAATATTTGAATAGTTTGGGGCCAGCAGGAGGCATGGTGGTTGAGGGTGCTAGACTCTCACATGGCTGACCACAGTTCAAGTCCTGGACCTGGTGGCTTGCTTTCTCTCTCTCTCTCTCTCTCACACACACACACGCACACACACACACACACACACACACACACACTTTCTCTTGCATTCTGTTTCTCTCTGGTCAAATTAAAAAGAAAGAAAGAAAGTTAAATAAAATAATTCTTTAAAAAAATTTCTTTGGATATTTCTACTCTTCCCCTAACAACCAAATAAGATGCTCTAGGGATGGTGTCTGTGTACTGGTATTTTTAAAGGCTTCTGGGTAAATCTGTGTACAGTCATTGCTGAAACCCCCCACAAAAGGGTAAAACATAAAAAATACAAGGGCTAGCCTTCCAGCAGCAATGGAGTGATAAAAATATATGCATCTAAACACTTCTAAATTGAAAATGCTGGGTTGTTGGAAAAGTCATGATATATTTCTCTCTCTCTCTCTCTCTCTTTTTTTTTTTAAGAGGTTTTTGCTATAGGACACATGCACTTGCCAGAAAGACAGAAAAACAAAAAGTGAGAAATCACCCCCCAGGGAGGATGGCCACACCACAATCCCTTCTCTTCCATTCTCCTCTTGGGATCTTGGGCATGCATACACATATGCCTTGGTGTGATTTTAACCCACAGGGTCTGGGACTTGAACCATGGTCAACTACATGGGAGTCCAGTGATGTTACCATTATGCCATCTGCTGGTCCCCCTCTTTCATTCTGTTTCTCTCTGGTCAAATTAAAAAGAAAGAAAGAAAGTTAAATAAAATAATTCTTTAAAAAAATTTCTTTGGATATTTCTACTCTTCCCCTAACAACCAAATAAGATGCTCTAGGGATGGTGTCTGTGTACTGGTATTTTTAAAGGCTTCTGGGTAAATCTGTGTACAGTCATTGCTGAAACCCCCCACAAAAGGGTAAAACATAAAAAATACAAGGGCTAGCCTTCCAGCAGCAATGGAGTGATAAAAATATATGCATCTAAACACTTCTAAATTGAAAATGCTGGGTTGTTGGAAAAGTCATGATATATTTCTCTCTCTCTCTCTCTCTCTTTTTTTTTTTAAGAGGTTTTTGCTATAGGACACATGCACTTGCCAGAAAGACAGAAAAACAAAAAGTGAGAAATCACCCCCCAGGGAGGATGGCCACACCACAATCCCTTCTCTTCCATTCTCCTCTTGGGATCTTGGGCATGCATACACATATGCCTTGGTGTGATTTTAACCCACAGGGTCTGGGACTTGAACCATGGTCAACTACATGGGAGTCCAGTGATGTTACCATTATGCCATCTGCTGGTCCCCATAACATATTTTTCTATGCAAAAATGCATCATGACTGTTTTGATGGCCCAATATGCAGAAGCTCCGGGACTAATATCCAACAATCCTAAAACTTTTCCACTTATGAGAAACACTTTCCAACAACTTCAAATGTAGAGATGTATGGCAATTTAAATGACATGAATTTTAAAGACCTTTAAATGACTGTGTGTTAGTTCGAATTCCCAGGAGAGCACTGCTGAGCTAGAGTTCTAGGCCTCCTCTGAAAGATGACCGGTAGCCCAGAGCCTGAGAAATGTAAAATGAGGAACAGAAAAATGTTCAAAACCATTTGCCACACCTCTTTTCACATGTTCAGAAACCTAGCTTAACCACAAGATGGGATGGCGAATTTTTATTTGATCACATTATAAATGCAACCACAAATGAAGTAAGGTGGCCAGACAGGTAAGTAGGTAACTTGTTCCCTCTGCTCAACGACAGCGACAGGTAAATGGACACACTGGTACCCACAGCAGAACTCTGGAAATCCGTCAGCGAGTCCCACAGGACAAATACCAGATGCATCTCCATTCTGAAAGAGTGATCACGTTGTACTGGAATCAATGGAAAACTGCTCATAAAAGAGCCATCTCAGGATCAGCAGATGGCATAATGGTTGCATCGCTGGACTCCCACATAGTTGACTGCGGTTCGAGTCCCAGACCTGGCGGCTTGAAACTCATGCCAGGCGTGTGGATTTTAAGTGCCCAAACTCCAGAGAAGAGAATGGAGGAGAAAGGACTGCGGCATGGCCATCCCCCCAGGGAGTGATTTCCTGCTTTCTGTCTCTCTGGCGAGCACACACGCCCTGTCGCAAAAATCTCTCTACCAAAAAAAAGTAAGAAAAAGAAAGAAAGAAAAGAGCCATCTCCTCTGGTTCTGCTAGTGACAAGAACAAGGACAAGTCAGAGGTGACCGGGGTGGCAGCTGTGTGCAGCGTGCTGGACCGCACACCTATGTTCTAGTTTTCTTGGTAGTGTGAGTGGATCATAAGTCATGCACGAAGTCTCAGCATGATGTAACTGATTTCTCCTTTTTAAAATTTATTTCTGTAAGTAATGTGTGTTATACACACAGTTTTTTTTTTTTACAAAACACGAAAATGTTAAGGATAATAACCATAATTATATCACCAAAGAGAATCACTCCTTACATTTAGAAAGGTTTCCCTAATCTCTTCGCTATGCGTATGCGTTTTCTGCCCAGTTAATACTAGTTAAGTATTCATTAACCAGAAGATTATTCAGTACCCCATAGCTAACACTGCGGCTGGCTGTCAGTGTACTAGAATTTTTAAAAGCCATGTAATATCTCTGGAGTGAAAAAGCTTATGCTGAGAAATAAATTAATGACTTGGTTTCTTTCTGCTCAAGCATCTCTCTGTATCCTTACTCTGTCACCATAAGCAGCTCCCTAATCAGTGGAATTAGTTTCTCTGAGCCAAATATAGAAAAATGGGGTCTGAAATAAAACTTCCTCTGAGGAAACAAAATCGCCTTCAAAAGGCTCTGTCTTGTCAGACCTTGCTTACTGCTTTCACTGTGCAAGTCCAGCTATGACCTGAGTCGATCTGAAGTTCCTGTGAGTCCAACATTCACTGAGTGTCTGCTATGTGCCAGCGCCATTACTGCAAAGAGTATGAGAAAACGAAATATGACCCCTGCCTTTTGAAGCCTCAGTCTAGAAGGACAGACAGACAGAAACAGAGGTAATTGTCATTCAAGGGAGAATGTGACCTGTGAAACAGGGACTCAAAGGAAAATGGAAGAAAGCTTAACTCTATAAATTAACATTTACATCACTAAATTTTAAACTGATAAACATCTAAAAACACTACAATACGGATTAAGAAAAGTGACAATCTGAGGAAAAACAGTGGGCACTCCAGTACCTGTCAATCAGTTGTCTGACGGAAACACGCGTGCTGCAACAGATTGTGAGACATATTTTGTTAAGTGGAGATGTAAGGAAATAAAACGTTTCTAAAGATAATTAGCCTTTAACTCGTCTGTTCCCTGAATTAGACAAAACGCAGACCTCGCTCACCTGTCACAGTGGGAACTGCCTCTTGAACTGCTCTGCCCTGACTCGTGCTGCGCATCCAGAAGGATCTTCTCCATGTCTCCATTGTGGATGGAGGATGACGACGGTACGTGCTCCAGCCCCCCGTTTTTCCCATTGCCGTTATCATTCCCATTGCTGCTGTTCATGGGGAGCTCCACCCAGGAACCTGTTGGACGAGTCAGATAAGTTAACCACGGCAGAACTGCAGTCTGTCCCCTGTGCACGCTGATGTGAACATGGGGAGTTCAGATAAGAATTTGATTCGCCTCAAGCAAAATGTGGATGTACGCTGAAGAAAATAAGCGAGAAGCCAATGAAGCCTAAAAAGCCTGCATTGTTGTGTTCCTGAAGGAGCTCATGCAATCAACCACTGAGAAGCAGCTAGAACTCTAAGACCTTAGAGAATGCATCTTTCCGCTAATTATTCTCTCTGGTTAAAGCGTAATTTACACAAGATCAACACTACTGAAAACTCTTGAGGTTGCTTTTCCAAAACTAAATAGTTTCTTTGCTACTCACAATCTACTTACCTTTTAGTATTTTACACATATACGTACAAATTTTGGGCATATATGGGACGTGTCATCACACATGTATACGCACATGTAATTTTTCCTTTCTTTTTCTAAGTTTTGTGATAGAGTGTATGCACTTGTCAGAGAGAGACACAGAGAGGGAGAGAGACAGGGGAGGTGAGAAATTATCCCCACAGGAGGATGGCCAAGCCTCAATCCCTCCTCCTCCATCCTCCTCTCAGGATTTGGGGAACGCATGCATGCATATGTGTACAGCATGTTTTTCAAGCTGCCAGGTCCAGGACTGGAACCACAAGGCTGGTCATGTGGGATCCAGCCACCTTAACCACCATGCACCGGCTGGCCCCTCAGACATAGTTTTTCCATAGTCTACCTGAGCTATTCAGCTGTATCTGCTTCACAAATGAAATAGCAAGCAAATCACTTAGAAACTTCATAAAGGTCATCAAAAGAAGCTAACAATGAATTCCTAATTAGCACCAACAACTGAAAAGTTCCCACAGAGGGAACCTAAATCTAATCACAAAATTTTCAAGATGTATACAAATCTGAAGCCTAAAATTAACGCAGCTAGTTCTCAACTCAATCGGATGATAATGCTAAAAATTCGCAAAAAAGCCTTGGCTCCATCTCACAGACCAGTTTCTTCCTTTCCCGTGCATCTCCGTGTTTCTAATCTTTCTCCTTTGTGTATGCACTAAACATACCTTGTGAAGTAGGCTCTCTCTCTTCTGTCCCACACGCTCTTACTTTTTAGGGTTTTCATTAAGCTCCGCTGATCTGGGGGGTAAACAGCTACGCATCAGCTCTAGGCAAACACAGAAAGTTTCTCGGGCCAATAGTAGATGAGGGTGGAGCTACAGAGAAAGGGGAAGTGACGCTAGGATCTGCACAGATCTTGAAAATATTTACTGGCCCCATGAACTTGCTAAACACATCAAGGTGCCTTCATGTTAATAAATGTTGCTAATAGGGCCAGCTCCATGGCGCAGCAGTAATAGCAGTCAAGAGAAGCCGGGTCCCACATGGTCATTGTGGTTCGATCCCAGCCTGGTGGGACTGAAACATGCTGGCACCCACGCCAGTTCCCAGGAGCAGACAGACTGGAGGGCTGGAGGTAGGGAACCATGGTGTAACGGAAGGTGCTTGTCCCACTCTTCCTCCCTCCTTCTTTCATGTGTCTGCATTCTATCATGTATTTAAAAAAAAAAATGGGTAATTGACCAATAAGCCAATTTCACAATGAAAAAAGATAGTGGTATATTTTGTTCATAATTTCCATTCCTTGCGATAAATTTTGTTTGAGAAAACGTAACCAAGCAGGTAAGTAGGGTCACCTCACTAAACTCCCAGCGGAATCATTAAGAGCAAGTTTCATGTGGCCAGCAGGTGGCATGGTGGCTAATGCTCTGGACTCCTAGATGGCCAATTGCAGTTCGAATCCCAGACCTGGAGGCTTGCTTTCCCATTTTCCCTCTTTCTCTCTTTGCCTCTCTCTGATGAACTGGAAAAAAAAATTTTTTTTTTTTTTACTTAAAAAATTGTATAGTAAAAATCAAAGAGCAAGTTCTAGAGATAAATGGGGAGTTTCATTAGTAAATGAAAACAAGGACCAGGCTGGAGATGGGACTCACTCTCTATCCACATGACCTGGCTCCAGTTTCCTCCACTGTAAAACAGAGATAGCAGTCGAGGCAGAGCCCACCTCGCAGGGCTGCTGTGAGGATTACACAGAGCAAGGCGAGTGCCTAGAAAACTACAGGTGCTCAGTTACACACCAGGTAACGAATTCATGCTGTAAAGTGTTTGGAACAGGGTTTGCTAAATAAAGTTCCCTTTTGCTTTTCATCTCAGGCAGCCCCAGCGGCTCACAGTCTCACAATCACTGCTAAGTCCTTAGGCCTGTACTGCCAAACAGCACCTCTGTACGTCTCCACTGCCTGCTTCTACACGCACGAAAACGGACATAGGCTGGAGAACTCAGAAGCACTATCGAATACAACTAGCAAAGCTATGACGGGTTTAACACTGAAAATCATTTCCTTAAATGTGTGGGGTGCCTCTTGAGCATATCAGAAATACACAAAAAGCATCCCTAAACTTAGAACACTGTAAAATATTTTAACTGGGGATTGGAGGAGAGAACATAGCACATTCAAAACAAATGGTTTCTTCGTACTCCCACTGTTTCTAGGATTTTCAAACTTTTTCTTCTTTTATTTTTAATTTTTGCCATCGGTGCATGCACTCTCTAGAGAGAGACAAAGATAGGGAAAAAGAAAAATCACTCCTCAGGGAGGATGTCTATACTGCAATCCCTTCTCCATTCTCCTTGCGGGATTTTAGGCATACGTGCACATGTACTCAGCATGATTTTCAAGCCACTAGATCTGGGATGCGAACCATAGTGTCAGCCATGTGGGCTCATGTCACCTGCTGGCCCATTCGAACTTATTACTAAGCCATGGGACCAGTTCTTCTACAGAGGCCAATGTGTAAAATCAGCAAAAGTGAACCAAAGCCAGGACTGCTTTGGCAGAACCAGAACTAAGGAACCAGGAGTTTCAGATGGGCCTCTGTGGAAGCCACTTATTCCTAAAATTTAATGCTCACTTGAGGAATCTGAGCAGGGTCGGCAGGCACTGTGCTGGTTAAGGCACTGAACTCCCACATGACCGACTGTGGTTCGAGTCCTGGACCTGGAGGCTTGCTTTCTCTCTCTCTCTCATCAAACTGAAGAATAATACATAAATAAAACTAAATAAATAATTATTTTTAAAAATTTGATCAAAAAGGAAGACTGTGACAAGATAGCCCTCACTGTTAACAATACGGTCCCTCCCTTTTTTGAGGGACTTCCAAACCAGTATCTGAGCTCTATTTTCTGCGTTCGAAGTACATAAGCACTCATAACCTAGCATGTTTTAGGAATCTGAGAAGTACAGAGAGGAGCTTAGTAAGTGGACTCTGGCACAGCCTCCACGCCCGGCAGCATGACCGGCGCATTTCCACTCCAGGCCGACCACTGCTATTAGGCACGTGTCCACACAGTGGTGAGGAGCAGAGGGGCCACCCCGTAGCATGTGACTGAGGCAGATGAATCTCACATGGCCAACTGCTTGGTTTGGGTCCCAGACCCTGCATGGTGCGTGTGTACTCAAAATCCTGAAAGGAGCCAGAGATGAAGAAGGGATTATGAAGTGACTATCCCCCGAATGGGAGAGCTTTCTGTCTCCCTCTAGAAAAAAGTAAAAGGGGGAGGAGGCAGAGACTGAAGTCAGACCCCCAATTCTATAACGTGTTAGCTGTTAAAACCTGGTCAGAGTACTTAATCTCTGTTCTAGTTTTTTCATCTGAAAATTGTACCCACATCATAAAGCTATTAGGAGGATTAAATAAAGAAAAGCACACAGAAAATAAGAAAGGTCTGTAGTATAATTATATTCTGTATAATTTTAAAATCAGGACCAGTCAGTGGCATAGTGGTTAAGGTGCTAGACTCCCACATGACTGACAGCAGCCGGAGTCCTAGACCTGGTAGCTTGAAAATCACACCAGGCATCGTGTGTGTGTGTGTGTGTGTGTCCAAAATCTCAAGAGGAGAAGGAACTAAGGCATGGCCATCCCCCCTGGAGGGTGATTTCTCACTTTCCCTCTCACTTTGTGTCTGGAGAGCACATGAACTCTATTGAAAAAAACAACTTCTAAAAGCATTTGTTTGTTTGTTTGTTTTTGTTTTTTGCTATATGGCATGTGCGCCTGCCAGAAAGAGGGAGAAAAAGAGAGGGAATGTAAGAAGTTAGCCCCTGGGGGATGACCACATAGCAGTCCCTCTCCTCCCTTCTCTCAGGACTTTGGGCATATCGGCAAGCACGCCTAGCTTCTTTTTTCTTTTTTCTTTTTTTTTTTTT